CAAAGCACTTGTAGCTCACAATTCCCACTGTCTGAAATGTCATTAAGAAATGGCAGTTAAGGGGAACTACGGAAGTCAAGGTAAGACCTGGATGACCAATAAAACTCTCAAACATAATTGCTCATATGCTGGCCAGAAATGCAAAGCAAAACCCCCATATGACAGCTAAACACACAGGAGTGGTGTTGCACTGTTCTACTGTGCACAAACATGATCTGTAAGGGAGAGTCATCAGAAGGAAATCTTACCTGCGACCTCATCACAAAAGTCAATGTTTGAAGTATGCAAAACATATCAAGATAAGCCAGGGTCATTTTGGAAACAAATTTGAACTGATGAAGTAAGAATGAAACTTTTTGGATACAATCACCAAAGGCATGTTTGGTGGAAAAAAAAGAAACAGTATTTGATGAAAAGAACACCTTGACAACTGTTAAGCTGTTATTATCTATTATGCTTTGGGGTTGTGGGGCAAGCATATTGGGTTCCATTAATAGCAGCAAATTCTGGAAGCAAATATGCCATAGTCAGTTAAGAAATTGAAGCCAAAGAGATGCTTGTTTCTTCCAAAATCCACCATGAACTACTTCAAAAATGTAAGCTGAAACTTTGGGAATGGTCCCACAGTCCCCTGACTAGAACATCATTAAAATCTATGGGCAGATCTTAAACTGTGCATGAAGATGGCCCAGTAATATTGCTAATAAACTATTTGCATTCCAGACTTTCAATCCATACTGCATTTGTAAGTAGAAGATGAGATATTTTATTAAAATTGGAATTGAATGAAAAGTTATTGATGTGTCTAGTGTTATAGACTTTACATTTTTGCCACATTTTTGTCATTTCTTGACACTGAAACAAACAGAAAAAGTTCTGACTTGAAACTGTAAGTACAGAATGTGAATCGAATGAAAACGTAACTTATGTGACTAATTAGCTATTTAGTTATGTAATTACATTTAAATAATATAGCAAAAACAATAACAACTTTTCTCTGAATTAATTATGACTCCATTCAAATCTGCAGTACACTTCAAGACACTTCAGGTGTTCATTCCGTCTGCATAACTTTTGAAAGTTTTTTCTTTTTGCTTTTAATGAAGCATCAAGTAGGACTAGCATTATAATTGGGCGTACTTTGCACAGGCTTAGTCATTGCACACTGAAGTGGAGTGCGTCTACTGCGAGGTCGACTAAGCAATCAAAGCACAAGGGCTTGCTTTCTTCTGATGCTATAATTAATTAGCGTGGCTTTCATTTGATGAACGGTTGTTTGAAAATGTCTGAAACGCTGCCTTGCACCATTATGGTGTTTTGTGGAGTGGAGACGTTGTGTTTTGAAAGCTTGCGTTCATCAGTATTCATCTGGCATGTCGCCTGGACCTCTCTGAGCATTTAGTAGGACATCATGTAAAAAAAACATTTCCTGATGTCTTCACTGAGTCACTCAGAGAGTTCCAGAAAAACAGGAAAATATTCCAGTCATGTCAAATGTCATAGGTCTGAATTACGGTAACACTCTACTTGAACTCTGCTGCATAATATTGACATAATCATTTCATAAACATATCATGGCAGAATGTCATTCACTGTCATGATTTGAACAAGATTTTGTTCAGTAGGCTTGAAAAAGCTAACATACTGTTATTATTATCCTATGGTCAATATGTTTTTTCCATATTAATAAATTGAACAATGCTCATTCTGCTTATATAACATGCTTATACGTCTACTTCTTAATCCACAACAGTCAGTAAACACTCCATATCCAAATGTTTTGGACAATCTTCATATGTCACTATCATACAAGTAGGCTAGCCTAGGATAGCAAAGCCATGGCCTAGCAATACATCACCAGCCACCTCAAACACCACAGCAATGGCCTAACAACACTTTATCCCACCACATGGGATAGCACAGCAATGGCCTACCAGTGCCTTAGCAACCACCTGAAATACCATAGCAACTGCCTAACTACACCTTAGCAACCACCCGGGATACCACAGCAATTGCCAGCAACACCTTAGTATCCACCTCGAATACCATAGCAGTGGCCTATGGTACCTGAGCAACCACCTGGGATAGCACAGCAATGGCTTAGCAACACCTTATTAACCACCTTAAATACCATAGCAATGGCCTAACAACACCTTAGCAACAACCTGGGATAACACAGCAATGGCTGACCAATGTCTTAGCAACCACCTCAAACACCTTAGCAATGGCCTAAGAATACTTTATCAACCACATGGGATAGCACACCAATGGCCTACCAGTGCTTCAGAAACCACCTGAAATACCATAGCAACTGCCTAACTACACCTGAGCAAACACCTGGTATAGCACAAGAACAGCTTAGCAACCACCTGGGATACAACAGTGATGGCCGAGCAACATCTTAGCAACAACCTAAAATACTATCGCAATGACCTAGCAACACCCTAGCAACCACCTCAAACACCACGCAATGGCCTAAGAATACCTTATCAACCACATGGGATAGCACAGCAATGGCCTACCAGTGCTTCAGAAACCACCTGAAATACCATTGCAACTGTCTAACTACACCTGAGCAACCACCCGGGATACCATAGCAATTGCTAGCAACACCTTAGTATCCACCTTGAATACCATAGCAGTGGCCTATGGTACCTGAGCAACCACCTGGGAGAGCACAGCAATGGTCTAGCAACACCTTATTAACCGCCCCGAATATCATAGCAATGGGCTAACAGCACCTTAGCAACCCCTTGGGATAGCTCAGCAATGGCCTACCAATGCCTTAGCAACCACCTGAAATACCATAGCAACTGCCTAACTACACCTTAGCAAACACTTGGGATAGCACAGCAATGGCCTACCAACACCTTGGCAACCACCTGGGATACCATTGCAACTGCCTAACTACACCTGAGCAACCTCTTGGGATAGCACAGCAATGGCCTACCAACACCTTCGCAACCACTTGGGACACCATAGCAACTGCCTAACTACACCTTAGCAACCACCTGGGATACCATAGCAGTGGCTTAGCAACACCTGAAAGCAAGTTTCCTGAAAAGAATGGAAGCTGTGGTAAAGGCAAATAGTGGACACATTAAATTTGATATGTAATGAGATAAATTTAATATTTGAAATAAATCATGTTTAGTTGTTGAGGCTTCTGTGTTTTTATCTAAATATTTGTTTTAAATATTTTCCTCCCACTGAGAAACAAAAATCCTGAATTTAATGACCGTTTTGACTGGAAAAGAAATAAATACAGAGTGGTCTCTGACTTTTGAATAATACTCTATTTGCAAAAATATTACAACATTAATGTTTTATCAGTATCACCCAGTGCTAGTTACCGCTGTCATGGAATAAAAAAATGTGAAACTAATTTTTGTGAATCAATAAAAAATTTGGCAAAACAAGAGAATAAGAAGTGGGACAGCGAGTGAGGGAGAGAAAAGGAATCAGAAACTGCTTCTCTTGTGGTTTTTGGGTTTTGGAGAGGAGACACTGTGAGTGTGTGTGAGATGTGGAGGCTCACAGTGTCTGATTGAATTTTCATGCTGAAACGCAGTAGATAGTGGAGACCCTGTATTACATTCTAATACAGAAATGTAGAACTCTCTCTCTCTTTCTCTCTCACACCACCTTGTGTGGCGAGATACTGGAAATGAAGTCCATGCGTGATGGTTTTCTAAGAAAGATAACTGAAAAGATATTGGAATCCATAGTCCTTGCGCACATACAGATACTGGGCTTGATTTGTGCTGGAACAAGCCAGATTCAGATCCTATTTTGGCTTGTCCTGCACTTCAGATACAAAATAAAGTTATTCAGCAATACAGTATAGGCCTATGATATGAAAAAAAAACAAACTTTCATGTACTGGGTGGCAAAAATAACGTTTTAGTCCACCTGCCTAACAGCATAACAGAATTATCTGTATGCTTGACAGTCGGCAAGGTGTTCCTTTCATCAAATGCTTCTATGCTTTTTCTTCAAACATGCATTATTGATTGTGGCCAGAGTTCAATTCAATTTACTTTATCAATCCACAGCACCTGTTTCCAAAATGCCTCTGACTTATCTAAATGTTGTTTTGCATATTTCGGTAAAAATACTTAATTCCTGCATATGTGAGACTACTCTTGAACCAAGATTTCATCATTGCATCAGTCTCCAGGCTCTGGCCTTGGCAGGAAGAAAGATACACAGCAATGCTTTATGCTCAATTCAGCCTGGTTACTTTATAAATATTGGCTTGTTAAGGCTTAATAAACGCATTACAAGGGTGCTACAACACTCCGTTGTACTGAATACTGAATGCTGTGTTATTAAAATATAACAAAATAACACTGATGCTGTGTTTATCTCTGATTCGACTGTTCAGCTAAAGTAAATATATCAATTTATCGGCTACTCTTGACTCAGTAAACAAGCTATTTGTTGAGTCTGCGTAAAAGGGAAATCTACCAATTTTTCAAATTTGATGCTCTGCTCTTAAGAAACCTATCAAGACAAAATTGTTCACAGCAATAGTGATGGAAACCAGACATCTTAAGAGTTTAATAAGAGTAAATAAGAGTTCAACCCCTTAAGATTCCAGACTTATTACACACTAAGGCTGATTATTGATTATTCATGTGTAGGTTCACTGGTCGATAAAAAGTAAATAAAATAGCTCTATTTTGAGTTGTTTACATCAGAATCCATTGGTAAAATGGTTCCACCACTGTGAAGAAAGTTGTAAAGTTTCTCTGCATTTCAATGCACATATTGTCAACTGAATTATGACTAGGTTTTGACAAATCTGTAGAATTGCCCTTGTGTTTAGAGAACATTGCTTAAGAATCTTGTTCACAAACTCATCAATCCCATGATCCATTGAGACACCACACCTGCTGCCCATTACTTTTTGTGATTTTTTTGAGAAACTTTTTTGTTTTCTTTTTGACTACAGCAAGAATCTACAAATGGAGCGCTGCAGACACAGAAGCACTCACCACGTCTATAATCTGGAGCAGTGTAAGTCCCAGTTCCACCACTAGGGGCGCAGAGTCATTGGCTACAGGTCTCTCCAGCCGGTTGTAGTTGGCCAACAGCTCCTTATACAGCCTCCTCTGGTGTTCCCCCTGCAGAGAGTCTACAGAGAGGGACGTTGGGTAAAGAAAAAGAAAGAAAGAATGACAGGAAAACATATCAAATAAGGCCTTAGAGAACACTGGAAAAGCAGAAGGTCATGGGTTAAACAATTAATTAATAGCTCCTCTAATGGTTTGACTGCTACAAGCTTTGATAGACAGCACAGTAATTGAGACTAATTTGCTCAGGGAAGCAGCCGCTCCGCTCTAGACAGGCATGTGCTGATAAAAGACAGACAAAAGAGAAGGAAAAGGATAAGAAGATCAAAGAAATATCACAGGAATATTCTTCACTGAACCTTTAGCTACTTTCAAAATGTTTAAAAATGTGCAGTTATGCAGCCTAATGTTTATTCAGTAACATTTTACTTAAACTCCACTACATAACACTGACATAACCACGCCATAAACATGTCATAGCAGATGTTATATGCTGCCATGAGCCATCATGACAGATTAGGTCAAATAGTCATGTTTCCAATACTGTTCATTTTTATGACATAAGTCATCATATTTAATGTTATGAGGGTTAAATAGAGTACAGAGCAAAAATTAGCATCATGTCTATTTCCAGTAATGGTAACAAGACACTGAACAAAATCTGTCATAACAAGTCATTACAGCATCTGCCATGACATGTTTATGTCAGTGTTATGTAGGATGGGAGGAAAGTGTCAAAAAGTGTGTGTTCATAAGAATTAGCAAAGGTTTAAAACAAAGCTTTAAAATGAAAGTGACAGGAAAAAAATAACCAGATACTATATTAAAATATATGAACAGTGGGGGCCAAAAAGTCTGAGATCACTAGTGAAAATGCTTATATTTTGAAATTTTAAAATGAATTTCAGAATTTCTTAATCAGTATCAGTATCAGTATCTTAGTCAGTCACAAATTTGCTTAAATTTGAACAGTGACCCAGAAATAGTGCAGAATTTTGAATATTTCTTCTTTGTTTACTTGTCATAACTTTTCTTTGTTTAAAATTTTTTAAAAATTCTTAACTTTTCTTTTGCTTGTTTTGCAGTATAAATGAAAAATCCAGGTTTTCGGTGTGGTCTGAGACTTTTGGACTCCAATGTATTAGTAAAAAAAATAGAAATAATAATATGGTATGCAAGATAAGAAATAAGCCAGCAGTCACAGGAAAAGAGCTGCAGGATGACCCGAAAACAGCAGAACCAACATTTATACAGAGAACAACAGACAATTTTTATGTGCTACTTGCTTCAGTACTTAGGTGGCCTTGCTCATTAGTTTGTGTGGTCTAAGCTTTGTGGCTGAGCTGTTGTTGCTCCTAGATTCTTCCATTCCACAATAATAGCACTTACAGTTGTCTGGGGCAGATCTAACAGGACAGAAATTTCACACACTGATTTGTGGTAGAGGAGGCATCCTTTGACAGTGCCATGTTTAAAGTCACTGAGCTCTTCAGTATGATTCAATCTACTATTACTCTGTCTATGAAGATTGATATGTGCTTGGTTTTATTTTTCACCTGTTAGCAATAGGTGTGGCTGAAACACCTGAACTCAATAATTAGGAGGGCTCTTTCCAGAAAACATTTAATTGCAAATAAAAAACAGCTGTGAACAATCAATGTGGTGATTGTACATGGAATATGATGGACTCTTGGCACTGGACTGGGAATTGGTATGTTACTAATGTTAGTGGTGCATTTAACAGATGGCAATGTGTGTTGGTAAAGTGGGGCAGAGTTACATAAGTGCAATCTACTCTGTTTCAGATGGGACCTAAGAGGGCAGAGCAAAAAAGTTCATTGACACTCCCACAGAGTCCCACAGTGAATGAGAAAATGATCAGATTAAGGGTGTTTGTGTATATATATGTTAGTGTGTGTATGTGAGTGTGAGAGTGTGTGTGTGTGTGTGTGTGTGTGTGTGTGCACCGATTGAGCTTCTGTCTCTGAATTGTTGCAGTCAGCCAGAACACATCCAGGCATGCAGCTCGAACTAAATCTGTTTAACATGAGGAAATCCTTTAGTGAATTTGCTGACGCTAGCATACTGTGAACCCATGTGACATTAATGACTACAGTCACCTTCACATAACTGGGGTGTAATGAAAAGTATTTCTGATGAGGATTGAATGGTTCTGGTAATAGGAGCACTAATCTTTCAAAGAAAATACACTGTAAGTTCTGAAGGTCTTCTTTTTTTTCTGCAGGGGAACGTGGTGTCCCTCAGGGTTGAGGCCTAGGCCCATTTAAGTTCTTTCAAGGAGTTTCAATTCAGCTGGAAAACTGATATTAAGCTGTTCACTAACTTTACCAATAGAGGTTTTAAGTAGATATTTCTATATAATTCATTTAATTATCCTCAAAAATGAAATATTCACAGAGGAATAATTCTGTAAAGGATAATAGGAAACGTTATGTATCTGTTATGAGTGTGCAGTATGATATTGCTGGGGGAGTTTAGACAGCTTAAGGGCTCACCCTTATTTATTAAACATGATTTTGGTAGAAAAAATATCTTGCGTATATGTAATTGAAAAATCTTTAAAAACTCAAGGAAGCAAAAATAATCACTTTAATCACTTTTTGTACTTTATTTCACTTATTGTAATAATTTATTAAGACAGTGTTTTTATTTCCCCTGTATACCAATAATGATTATTTAATCATGTTTCCCTTAGCAGTTAGTAAACATTAATTTATTTTCATTCTAGCAACACCCTAGCGACTAACTGAAATACTGCAGCAACTACCTAGTAATACTATAGCAACCACTTTGGATACCATAGAAAGCGCTTAGCAATACCATAGCAATTATATAAAACACCACAGCAACTGCATAACAACACACTAACAACCACCTGGGATGCCAATGCAACCAACTGGCAATACCCTAGCACCACCTGGAACATCTTAGCATCTGCTTAGCAACACTCTAGCAACCTAGCAACCACTTAACAGCATGCTAGCAACCAAACCACCTAGTATATACACCTGAACATATCGTAGCAAAGACATAGCAACACCCTAACAACAACCAGAGGTACCATAGTAAACACTTAACAGCCATTTAAGATTCCATAGCAACCACATATCAGCACCCTAGAAACCACCTGTAATAATATATGAACCACTTTGCAACCACCTAAGGTACCATAGCAACCATGTAACAAATGCTTAGCAATACTGTGGAATTATTTAAGCTGAAGTTAAATATTAATTTAATTTCATTCTTGCATACAAACTAATATTATTGGACTAAGCATTTTGCTTATGGCCCTCAAATTTTCAGAAATGATTGTGGTTATAAGCTTCCATTTCTTGTTAGCTACACTGGCTGTACAGCTTCAGTAGAAAATGATCCAAAGTTCCGACACAAAACATGTTGGCTGACTGATGTTTGAGGTAAGACAGAAAACTGAATTAGATTTTGAATTTGATTTGATTCAACTGCAATTAGATTTTTTTGGTGAACTATCACTTTAAGAACTACACCAGCAGGTGCACTCAAGCCATGAAGGACACTCCAACAGGTGAGTCGAACAGCATTAACCTTGATCCTCGGCTTACATAGTAAACATGCGTCTCTTTCTCTTCTTGCTTCAAGACGAGGAGGACCACTGCCTCCACAGGGTTCCCTCAGTAAAGCTGACCCAGTCATGACCTTTAATTGGCAAGGTTAAAACTCCTTCAGCTTCAGATGAGCAGACGCCTCACATTTCATCACCTATTCCAACCTTCTCTCTCCCTCTCAGCCTGCTCGCCTCCTGACAGAGTCACATTAAGCACCGTTACGGACACGTACCTCGCAAACGAAGTGAAGCGGAGTAATCAGAAACACAAACAGCCGCGCAGAAAACAGACACACGAGCAGAACAAAGGACAAATATATGGTCAGGTGGGTCTAAAGCGAGATGGAACTGCATGCATTTCAACAGAAGCAAACAAAGCATATATGTAAACAAAGTCACTAAACCTCTGCATGTAAACAAACAAACCATACATTTAAACACTGCCATTCACAGCATAGGTATACAAACAGATCTCTCAGGGGGAGAGCGGAGTGTGTGTATGCCAGACACACCATACATTACACACGTCTGTTCAGCCTACAACAGTTTTATGAGTGTCGAGCTGCTTTCACAGTCCAGGGCGGCCAATCAGAACAGAGCTCTATGTGTTCTATGTACAGAAGAGTTTTAGGATTAACAACCACACAGTGCAGTATGAAAAGTTTCTAATCTGAGATGCTGTTTAAAATAATTATTTGATTTAAAAACACGTGAAAGCTGAATTTAAACGTAGTTTTGGACAGCTGATTATTTTATTATCATATCGCTGCTGTTGGAACAAAACCTCCATAGTGGTAACTTTACAGGAGAAGGAAAAAACGTACTTTAGTTTTGATGTAAGTCAATGGAACCAGACTTTTTTCTGAGTAATTCTGGGTCATTTCTTTTGGTCCATTCGTCATGAACTTCACCCATAATGTAAAGGACAACAAAATCTGAAAAATGGAGATACGAGGTTTTGTTCCGACAATAATAATGTATTGTTTTACTTTGCTTTATATTTTATTTGTCCATTCTCTGATTGCAGTTATTGGAGCTGTCCTTTGAGTGATGTTGGCCAGCTCAGGCTAGTTTTGGACAGAATTTTGTTATACTCAGGTTTGTTTGGAACATGATGAAGCGGTTTGGGTCGAGTCAGGTTCAGTCAGAATTTTATACTTGGGATAGTTTCGAACTCTTAACATGATGTGATTTGGTTTGGGTCCTGACAGGATTTTGTCGGGTCTGGGTCGGGTTTGGACAGAATTTACACAGGTCGTTTTAGGACCTGATTATGTTTAAACTTGATTATGTGGTTCGGGTCAGTTTTGAACAGATATTTTTTTGGCTTGGACAGAATTTTGTCAAGCTCGGGTTGAGTTCAGGCAGAATTGTGTCAGGCTTGGGTTTGGTTCAGAAAGAAGTGCCAAGCTCAGGTCAGTTTAGGACTCAAAATTCGACACTGTGGTTTGAATT